CCTCCCCTGTTAACCAGGAGTGCTGATAGATGATGGAGGGTGGCTGGGTAAGCTCCTCCGCCAGCTCCCTCAATACTCTCGGGTGGATCCCATCTGGCTCCATAGACATGTGAGTGTCCAGGTGGTGTAGCAGGTCATTAACTGCTTCCTCCAGGATTATGGGACCTTCTTTCTGCTCCCTGTCTTCCAGCTCAGTGGTCTGAATACCCTGGGGATAACTGGTCTGGCTATTAAAGACAGAGGCAAAGAAGGCATTAAGTACCTCAGTCTTTTCCTCATCCTTGGTGACAATGTTCATCCCCCCCACCCCCCCGCATCCAACAAAGGATGGAGATTCTCTTGGCTCTCTTTTTGTTGTTAATGTGTTTGTTATTGTTCTCTGATTCTAGCATTTTGTGTAATAGTGAGGTATAGCATATAGACTAATTGGACTAGAGAATAAAGATAAAATAACATTTTGTCAGAATCCTTCAACATCAAGGTAATCTAATGTATTAAGTATTTTTTCAATCTTTTACTTAGCATTCATAAGCACTATAAGCACTTAGCACTTTTGTTACTTTCCTTTTTGATCCCTTTTTCCAGATGCTTATCTGTTCTTTTTGTGAATATGTTCTTGTTTTTCTATAAATGTTCCCTTTATTCTGTATGAATTCCCTTTGCTTTTTGCTATTGACTTAGTTCTTACGCTGTCAGAAGATTGCCATTTTAACCAGTTCTGGTTTTTGTTGTATAGAATGGAACTTACAAAAGCATTCATGCCATGGCCAAGGATATAGATCTTCTGGCAAAGAATGCCAAAACCTACAATGAGCCTGGATCACAAGTATTCAAGGTTAGTTTCAGTTGTTCATAATTTGATTTGAGTTTAGATTTTCTTTACTACTTTCTGTGCTGATTGATTCTTAAATGACTGTAACATAAGGCCCTAAAGACTCTGTTTGCATTTTTGAAAAAAATAGCTATTAGTGGCCTTTCCTTTTTATATTGCTTTTAGTATAATTGGGGTGTATGTAATGGTTTTTTTTCTTGAGGTATATGATTTTTTCCAATTAAATTTTATCTTGGGATATGAGTTACATGACGTCTTTGGAGGAATGGAGGATCCCTGTAGTTGTGATTGAAGTTGAAATGGCTGAAACTACAGGTTCAAGCGATAGTGGTAATATTCAGCTGTTAACTCTTTCCAGATTGCAGGAACTGTTTATGGTTTCCGTTGTAAGCTTGAAAACTGGAGTCATAACTCTACGTAGTTTTTGAAGATCCTCTTCCTTTTAGCCATATTTTTGTGACCAGATTGCACCTCCTGTCTTTTGCATACTTAGTTCACCAGTGTTTCTGTGTACTCTGGAAGAGAATTTCAGTGCTGAATTACTCCTTTCTGTGCTCACTTTTTAAGGGCTTTGTAGTGAGAGACCTTGTATATGTATAATCTTATTATGTAAGTGGTTCTTGGACTTCGCCAATTGCACTTCAGTTCCTACCGACATTACACTTGTAACCTCACTCAAAACTTGTACTCTCTGTTTTGTGAACTGTTACTCCAGGTATTGAGTCCACGGGTGTAGAATGAGAGAGAGCAAGCATTGTAAAGCTCAGTAATGGTAGTAACTTTTGGGTTTCAAATGCACAGAAACTCATTTGCCTGTTTAGTTTGAAGTGGTATTTGTGTATATTTGCAAACTGTAGAATTTTTTTTTGTTAAAGGATACGACAAAAAATGAACTCGAAATTACTCAGCTATTCTCTTCATTTTTACAGGCCACTGTGGGTGTATTTCAGGCAGACTTTGTTTTATGCTTCATTTCTGATGCAAAATTGTTTTATATCTAAATGTAAAAACCCCTTCATTTTTTTTAGATTTTTAGATAGATTGATATACCTGGCTGTAACATTCTTCACTTTCAACATTAAACAAAAAAATTCTTCTAATTGACAGGATGCAAATGCGATTAAAAAAATATTTAATATGAAAAAGGCTGAAATTGAACACAGTGAGTTGGCCAAGTCAAGTCTCCGAATCAGGTACTGCAAACAGAGTTCTTTTTATAATCTCATATAAAAATCTCTATAGACATTCCCTTGATTTTGTTGTGGAGAATATAGTGGTAAATAATTGCTTGAAAACTTACTTTATTGTTGTTTTAAAAGTTATGAATTGTAAAATAGTTTTTGGAAGGAAACTTTTCATTGAAATACTTCTGTGGTGAAATATTTCTGTGATGTATTTGATTGTGAAAAACAGTGTCAGTGGATCTTTTATAACTTAAGCTATGGCTAACTTCCATCATATGTGTTTATGAGTTAGTAACAGAAAAGGAATAGCGAGGAACAAGGTGATTTGTTGTGCTTTGCTTTACGAAAATGCTGGGTCTTCTTGAACCTTGTTAGGAGCTGAAACATAAGAGCTCACAGTTAATTAGGTAAGGGCAGAAACACAGGAACAAGACATCAGGCAACAGATATTTACAGGGAAGTCCACATTATATAAACTCTTGTTTGAAACCAGTACCTAGCTATGAAAAGAGGTGCAGGACACTGAAGATCTGGATTTATTAATTAGTGAAGCATAGATTTGGTCTTGAACAGGCAGGTATAAAACACTGTTGATAGCTCTATTTGTTTCATGGAATTATTTTATTTAGGAAACAGCATTTTCTTCCTGTGAAAATCCATAGTGTACAGAGAAGTGATGCAGTCATTTTAGATTTTCCTATCTGAAATGCAATTAGATTTGTTCTCATGTAAACTTTTTACTTATGAGTAATGCTCAAAAAGTGGGTTTAGATATTATTTGCCAGTATGAGCTGTGTCATTTATCTAAAAAAATAACGCAACATCTTTCAAGTCATCCAAGGAGTTGGCAAACTCTTTACAAGGTGGACTGTCTTTATGTATTTGAGCTGTTTACTGGTATTTGATGCTGGAAAATAACTGTTGTCCTTTCCTGCAAAGGTTTGTATGGTACAACTGAGAACACTAGCACTCCCTTACTTTACTGAAAGGCAGTTTAAATTTTTTTGTTGTCTGAAAAATGTGTATATGGTGTCAGTATTAAAAGTATTGCCTAGGATTATTATGTGTGAAAGAAATGGAAGTTACCTGATTTTTTACTTTTGGTGCCTTGAGATATTCAACCTAGATAGTGGTTTTTCTGGTTTGTTTGTTCAGCGTTAGCATGTTTCCCATGTTTGTGTGAATCATTGTTGAAGCATATAAAAATATAAAAGCATAAATACTGTTAGGGAGTAATTCCTGACACATTTTTTAATAACTTACCTTCTTAAAAGTATGTGTAGTGCCAGAAAACCTTGATTCTACAGACACTGAACTGTACATATGTGTTTGCTTTGCAGTAGCTAGAATTACATACAGGCACAGGGGTATTCTATTTAAATCATTATTTTATTTTATTTTTCTCCCTGTGTTGGCCATTGATGAAGCTCAGGATGTCACAAGTGTATGTCATGTTTAATTTTGAGGCTTAACTGTTTTTCTTCAAAGTAAAGCTGTTTGCATAAGAAGGGATGACAGATAAATCACACTGATATTTGTTAGCTGAATTCCTCTCTTGCACTGCCAACCCATTTCCACTTCTCAGCTACCTTATTCTAGATGTTCTCTTTATGTACTGTGTTCTCAATAGACCTGCAAATCGTGAAGTAAGCTGAACGTCAGAATAACTGACGGCTCCCTTCTTTGTTTCACTAACTTGGAAAAAAAAAAAAAAGTATAATGTCTGAAGCAGGCTACAATAATACTGGGCTGAATGCCAAAAAATTTGGGGTGAGAGAAAAGTATCATATAAAACCAAACCTTTCACCTGCTGTTCTGCATTTCACTGCTTGTTTTTTCTATTGAACCATTATTCCTTTTTTTTTTTTTTTGTTTCTTTCTGTTGAATCTGCATCACAGAGTCGTTATTTTTTACTTAAATACCTAACTACTACATTGTCTCAAAGGGGTTCTCCTTTACCTGTTGCTGATTTTGGTAAAATATCCCCATAAGTTCATTTAAAGTTAATTTACTATATTTTTCTTCTGAATTTACATCTGGTTTTCTTTGTCATTGATGGATCAGGCTCAAATTCATCATAACACTACTAACCTAAGTTCTACATGTTGCCTCTGTGTCAAAAATCATGCTTTTCTATCACAGAGTTCATTGTATCCTTTGTCATACTAAATTGTTCTTTGTTGGTGCATTTAACTGTCCTCCCTTAAATAAAGTGGCAAAATGAAGTTGCCTGACAGTATGCACTGTATCTTGACAGTGATTTTGTTAAGTATTGATAAAACATGATTGGATCTGTATGATTAGCTTTATCTGAATGCTAAGGAATATTTTGTTGGCTGCTTTCACTGCTATTGTAGGTTGAGCTGTGTGTATAGCTATTAATCCTCAATCTAAATGTTACCTTCCTCTGAGTTTATAAACAAAATTGATATTAATGCTGGGGCACTAAATGTATCTTAGTATTACTTTACTTTTAGCTTTAAAACATTTTATATCTGTCTCTGAACCTTTTGGCTGATCTATCAAAGTAATTCTGTAAAAAGCTTTATCCTTGCTGCATCTTTTCTTGGGTCTAAGGTGGGCCTCTTTTTTCCCCTTTCCTTGGCTTGTCTCTTCTGCCTTAAGGACTCCATCAAATTTGACTGCTTCCAAGCTGACAGGTCCTTCCTCACAGGGTAAAGGCAGTGTTGGTGATGAGAGAAATTCTTCTAACAAATATTATCGGTAAGTAAATTGTGGACTTGGAGGAAAAGCTGGGTCATCATCATATGGAAATACTAAAATTTAAAATGTTGGGGTTTGTTTTATTTTTTTTAAGTTGCGAGTGCTCTTCAATATTTGAGATTCAAATATATTTCGGTCAAATATCTATTAAATATTATTTAATAAGTTACTTTGCTATAACTACTCTTCCATGTTTGATTTTATATTGAATGTTTCAAAACACCTGTCATGAAATACTCTCTATGCAATTATTTCCTTAGAAATGTTCTGAAGAATAATATGTTAAGCTTCATTACAAAATAAAGCAGGTGAAAAATAACATGGAAATGTGTTGTAAACCTAGAAAAAATTATATTTGGAGACTAAAAAGAAATAATAAATAGGAGTAAATAATTAAGAGATGGATGATGGAAACCAATGAAGCCTGTAAAAAGACAGTATTGCCTTTGGGATGCATTTATGGCAAACTTGCTGGGTAGACTGGTTTCTTCTTCAGTCGTCAGTTGAGAATTTTGGTACCTTGCAGAGGTCTCATGTCTACAGTCTGTGGTTTATTGTCTTGAAACAGTACTACTCCTGGCTAACTCCCCGTGTGTATACTCTGAAACCATGGTTTAACACAGCAGCTGCAAGGGTCTTGAAGGGATTGAGCATTTGTACAGAGTTGGTATCATTTTAAGCAATCCATCTGCTTTTTCCCAGTCTTGGCTTTGCTCCCATAGGGCAAGGTTGAGCCCGTTGCTGGAGGTGCCTAAAGAGCTGACCTAGTAAAAAAGCAGGTTGTCAGGCATAGCCTGCAGTATAGGTATGAAATGCTGTGGCCTAGGTTTGGGACAAAAGGGAGGAAGAGAGGGATGCTGAAGCAGTCTTTGTGAGACCATAATCAGTAGGGACACTGATTTCCTCCACCTAGAAAGCAAAGGAAGGTGCTTTACATATAGGCATTCTGCGTGCTGGAAATGCTTAAGGTGGGGATGGGGGAATGAGGGAAGATAGCATATAGAGCTTACTGTGTGCTGAATTTCTGCATGTAGACAAATTCCCTATAAAACAGGATCAAATAATGGAGTTATTAATTTGGAGGCACTTGTGACCATCCCCCTTCTCCCCCAATAATTCAAATACTCAAGTATTCAAAATAGGACAAAAGATAGGTAGCTTGAGCTCTAGCTTTCTGATTGTGTGTCTAGTTTTTCAGTTTGATGGACTGCCCCTTAAAATAGACAGACTCATGGGTCATCAACAGTTTTTCTTGTTAAGGACTCCAGTCTTTTCTTGCATAGTCATTTCTGTATTCCTGATAATGTAGGCAACAGTCATGAGCTTTGCTTGTTTACTTACACACTCTGGGTGACTGTTAATGGTTAACATGAAACCCCCCCCCCCTTTTTTTTTTTAATTTTGCACATTTTTTTCTTTTTTATAGTAACAAAAGATCAGCACAAGGGGATCGTTTATCAGCAATAACCATGGCATTGCAGTATGGATCAGAAAGTGAAGAGGATGCAGCTTTGGCTGGTAGGAACTGAAATGCAGTTTCTCTATTTTCTTTAATTAAAATGTTTGGAATAAGCAAAACTGTAGAGTCCTGATACATTCAAATATCTTTATTTCAAAAATATTTTGCAGAGTTTCCAGACTCGGCATGTAATTCTGTTAAATCCAGTCCCTGTTTCCTCTAAGTATGAATTGATATTACAGCTGGTAAGATAGGGTAGGCCAAACTTGCTTTCTTGTTTTGAATTTAGTGTTTGTGTTTCCAAGTATACTTATCCAAGCTTTAGGAAACTGTTGCTTGTTTTTATTCCTTGTAATATGAAACAGAAGAGGAGACACTGGAGAAGACATGGGGTGCTCCTTGCAGTAAAAGAGATTTACAGTGCTGCAATTGTTTGAGAGAAATCTCACACTTGCTCATGCTGGCTTGTTCTCCCTTGCTCTCTTGTGCCATTGGGTCTTCTAAGTACCTGTCAGGTTTTATTTTTTTTAAGGTGAAGATAATCTATATGAGGTATAAGGATAGGTAAATGTTAGAACCTAATTTAGAAATATGTGGTCTAGCCTAGCAGTCAGGAAATCTGGCATGAAGGTTTATGTTAAAACAAAAGCACATAAAAAGGCATACCTTCATACAGCATCCTTAGTTTCATAGTAAGCATGCTTTAGCATTATACTGTAAGCATATATGCCATCATATGTGCATTATATCAAATATGTCAGTATTGGTCATAAATCATTGTAGGTTGTCTTTTAAGTTAGCCTGTCTTCATAGTTACATTCTAAGTAACTTCCTTGCATTCATCTTAGAGCAGGTTTCCAAAATGTTTGTGTACATATGCTGTTGTTTTATTTTCTGTTTACATTATTTCTGTATTGATGTGAAATGATGCATCTATTCAATATATATTTTCAGGCATTTATTTCACACATGGTAATTGAATTGTACTCACTGCTGTTTTCCAGTGGATGGATATCCTGTAGAATTTTTTGGATCATTTTAGATCTTGCTGCAAGCAAAAGAATTTTTCTTCCTGGTTAGCCCGGAGTTCAGTTATTGCTTCAGAGTAGCTGCTTTCCGGGAGGTGTGAGGAGTATTTATTAGCTTGGTTCAGCGTGATGATTAGCTGCTATTTTTGCAAATTGCAATTCTGTGAAAAAGCATAGCTTTTTAGGTCTTTATGTGATTTAAATTCTTGAAGTGATTTAACCACTTTCAGGTGCCACCTTTACCATGGACATCATTGTCGTTTTCCTGGGGCCTTTCGTATGCATCTGTTGTTGAAGCTCTTCTATCTTTACTGCATTCACTGAAGAGGCAATGTCAATATTTTTTGGCAGACCTCTACCACCCTTAAGATTTTCTGTCCCTCCGTCATACTACTTGGACATCCCTATGCTTTCAGTCTGCAGATGAAAAGGATTTTCATTTTAACCAGGTGGTCTTTTTATTAGTTGCTCTGGTATCTCATCTTTTTTCCTTCCTCTAACACTCGTTAAAATAAATGAGAACTAGGCTGCATGACTGAACATTTCTCCTTCTTGATACAGAGAACTAAATCTTTGTGAGCTTCTTTGACTGTAGCAGTTGCCTAAGCAATGAACAGTATCTGTTTCCAACTTGGAGTTTATCCTCACAGTTTCAGAGGGTGTCATGGTATGATGGAGCGTGTGGAAGATTCCAGCTCAAATGTACTAGGACATGAGCAGCTTCTGTAGCTCCCTTGCTCCTCACTATAAATCTGTAAAGGCAGGCATAGGCGGTCATTGTGTATTACTTACTTATAAGTATTTCATTTTGTAAACAAAGGTTTTTTATTTATTATTTCATTTATAAATGTTTTAAGACTGGATGCTGCTTTTGGTTTTACTAGCATCTATCTTCAGTTAGCCTTTGAGCATTCATTGTTGTCTAGGTGCTTTGGGACCACAAAGGAGACAGTGTTTAAAGCAAATCACTTACTGAGTAAAGACTAATTTTCTTTCATATGCATTCAAATACTCTCCTCTGCTCTTTTCTGCCTCATCATTGGGTAAGAGTATATATATATATGATACATGCATTTATATCTGATGGTAAAGCTCAGTTCCAGTTGTAAATTAGGTGGCTTCCTCCTTTTGCAGTGAAGTCAATTTAACATCACTCTGTTATGAAGCTGTCCCTTCATTAGGAAACAGTCGCTGTGGTATGGAATAAAGAGCAGGAAATACATTTTGTTTGGGACTGTTGAATGGCATCTGTTTTGTGGTTATGGTTTACTGCATTTGGTGGTGTTTTGTTCCTCCCCCAGTGTCTGCTAACTGTAGTTGTGGTAACAGCTGCATGAAAGGGGAGTAACTGGCTGTTACTCTCCACTGCCAGCATGTGCTTGGTGGGGATATGGAAACTGGTGCTACTGCATATTAAAGAATATACAGTCTTGCACTAGATTGTTTGTTCCATAGCAAAATACAGATTTTCTGTCTTCTCATCTGAATAATACGTTCTTCTTCAGTTCTTAAGATAACGGGTTTCATATTAGGAGAACACATCATTTTTTGAATATGTAAGAATATATAATGTTTGACACATCACTTTTAAAGAACATACACATCATAATGAAAATGTTTATAGCTGTATTACAGTATTATGTAAACACTTTCCTTTTAGTGCCTGCTTAATTTACTTAGATTTTTATTTTAGGGAATGCCTCGTGTTCTACTTCTAATACAGAGGAGGTAAACTTCTTATTGAGGGTATTGAACTGCTTTGTTGCTGGCTGCCACGTGTCAGAGAACAGTAATATACTTGACTGGTTTTGTATTTTTTCGCTTTTGTAAAAACAAGTTGTTCTGCTTTTTCTATTCTGTTTCCTGCTTTTTGGTGGAGCACTCAGAACTGAACTGTTTGAGTAAACAAAGCCAAAGACAGTGTTTTGCTGCATAATCTATTTTGGAGACTTACTTTACCTGATAGCATTCTCTTAGCTGTTAGCATTTATCTCCATGTTCAGGTTGGTATGTTAGGTACAGGAAAACATAGTGCTACCTCCAGTCTTTTGTTTCTACCTGAGTTACTCTGTCCAGCTCCTGTTTTGAAGGCTACTGTGTCATGGATGTTAGGCCATTAAGTGATGCTGATTGGCATACAGATACGTAATTAGGATAATTTTGAGTGTCTTCCCTGAATCAGTAATGAAGGTCTTCATAATGTCTTTGCACATCTACTGAGGTCTGCTTGTGTTTTAGCTTGCATCTAACTTGTCTGGTAGATCTCATACATCATACACTGACATAGATCTGCAATGTCAGACTGCAGCAGAAAAGTAATAGTCCTGTGTTGTTATGCAGTCAGAGTGTGCCCTGGCTTTGTCATCATTTCAATATGTCTTTACTGAACTCGGATAGAAAACTTGAAACATTGCTAGCCTCCACTGAGCAATGATGAAAATGCCAGCTGGAAACTTGGCGTGAGTGTTAGAGAACTGTCTTTTGTGTACCTGAATTACCCAGTGTGTCATCTGCCAAGCTTTCCTTCAAACTGTAAGTCATAAGAGGGGGAAAAAGGGTGGATAATTTAACTGTAGTATGTGCAAAACCATGTAGATTTTGTTACGCCTGTCTGCAAGGTACAAATTACACCATTTGTGTTACTGAGAGACGTGGAAGGGTTGGCCATTTATTGCTTCCCATCCTACGTTACCACTATCAGGGTTTTTTCATTCCTTTTGTGTTTCTGTTGCTCATGTAATGTTTCTCCTAATTTTATCTGCAGTAAATGTTAGTTCTTCGTAGCATTTCTTTCATTCATCCTAATCCTGAAGCATAATATATGCTTCATGTAGATAACTAGAAAAGTTTGCTCTAAAATTTGTAAATACTTTATTATGAAATGTTTATGCTAATTATATAAGAATTCTAAAATATTTCTTTCTCCTTCATTTTGCTGCATATATTAGAGGTGTGCCTTCAGGCTGTAGTGTCAGTTTTTTCTCCTGAACTTTACCATTTTTTAATTGAGCTGTGATCAATATGGTCTAAAGTATTATAGGAGTTTTGAAGTCACCTTTTTGATATATATGGAAAAATTAATTTTTAATTTGGCCATTTTGCTTAACTGGCTAGGCATCTTTGAAAATTCTAGACATGGTTTGTCAATATGTATTCTTGTAGTGAGCCCTTGTCCGATAGCAGAATGGCAGTAGTTCAATCTACAAATGTATTTGGCACAAATACAAGTATTAATTGATGGGTAAATAAGGACGTAGCTATTTTATAGGTAGTGTGTGGCTGAATAGTCCTGTTATGTAGTCTCATACATGAACACTTCTCAGCACTTGTAGATGGCAAGGGTGTATTACCAGTGACAGAACTGAAGTCTCATCTGATAAGAGAGATTGCAATACCTAGATAAAGGGCTTTTTTTGCTCAGCTTGAGGCTCATAAGGTATATTTGTGATGTCCTTTTCTGAGGTATGAATCTGACTCAGAGAGTGGCTAAACATTCTCAGTTGAGGGACTGCCTTTTCTTCTGCTTTAGATCTTTATCCATTTGAAAAGTCAATCAAAAAAGCCACTCTGAGTTGTCCTGCTGAGTTTCCCATTTTTCTTCTCTCTCTGTGCAGCTGCTGCTCGTTATGAAGAAGGAGAATCCGAAGCAGAGAGCATTACTTCCTTCATGGACACTTCTAATCCTCTTTATCAGCTTTATGACACAGTTAGAAGTTGCCGAAATAATCAGGGCCAGCTCATATCTGAACCCTTTTTCCACTTGCCCTCCAAGAAAAAGTATCCTGATTATTATCAGCAAATTAAAGCACCTATTTCATTGCAGCAGATCAGGTAAGCAAACAGAATGCAAACTACATCTGGTGGGAAACTATTCAAGGGTTTCTTCTATTTCCAGAATCCTATCTTGCGGTCAAGTTTTCGATACCTAATGCAGTGTATACCATCTTTCCTCTATATTTGGTTGCTTCTTGTTTTAAGTCAGTCTGCATCAGTCTTTTGATCATTTTTTTATAGATGGCTGCTGTTGGGTTTATTTTTCATGGAGTTTCATTTTTAATGTGCCTGAAAGGTTGCCATATCAATAATTCTGAAGGCTAGGTGGGCAGCAGAGATGAAAGCTTTTGTGCAGAACCACACACCCC